TCATTCCCATGTATGGCCTGCTCCTCTGAGGCCACAGTAACATTGCATCTAGATGTAATATTCCCCATACTGATATGTTCCTTGTTAGTACACAAGGGTTTGAGGGAGCTCAGGTCTGTGCAACAAATGTTTTATCCATTCCTGTATCAGTACAGGTAATGATTTCAGTGAGGTTGCGGTGCACTTTTTGTGAAAAAATGAGAGTCTCTGAAGTTGCGTCAGTTATTAGTGGACAATCCATCTGCTATTGCTGGATTAAACACTATGGGAGCCAGAGAGTTGGGTGTTGTGGTGTGTAGCGGAGAGCTGATATTCCACAGGTTATCTCCACTTAAGATTCCAGTGAGGCTCAGGAACAAGTATTTTTAAATCCATAAGGCAATACTTTCAGCAGGCAAAACAATCCAACAATATCCCAACATCAATCCCAATTACTGGACGACACACAGCATCAGGAGCAGAACTGAACTTTTAATCACTCAACCTTCTTTTAAAGCATTCTCCCATGCAAGGGAGGGATTTACAATCATTTGTACAGTATCCAATCATACATGAGTAGCCGTCCACACATCCCCTCCCCTTAGCCTGACTCATAATCCTATTATGCAGGACACAAATTCTCTGGGTTTCTGGATGTACCCATAAAAAGGCATATACCTTTAAATAGTACATCCCCTGGTAGCCCTGATCTGGGTGAGTGACATATCCAAAAATCACCCAGATCGGACCAGAGGTTCGGGAGATTTGTAGAAGTAGTAAAAAGACCGACCGCGCTGGAGGGAACAGCCGAAATTGGTTCCATGCGTTTTGGCCCTGTGGTCAGTCACAGAAGAAGGGAATAAACTGTACGAAAGACTTGTGCTATGGAGACTAGGGAGGGTTCGCATAAATCCCCTTGTTCGGGTGTTTCTTTCTACCGAACGGGTGGCCGTTCGGTAGTTGCTATACGAATTTAAGGGCAGTGTGGAGGTCTCAGCGGTGTTTGCCTAGTCGAGTGTCCGATTTGGGTTCCAGACACTCGACGTCAAAACACCGTTGTTCGGGAGCTTAAAATGGCCGCTGCCACGTGTTCGTCTCCCGAATGGTGGCCACCCAGAGAACAAAGAACCCACTACATTGCCAATTACCCGTTTGTGTTTGGAGGCACACTTACTACTGGGGTGGTCTGACTGTTCGGTAGTTTCACTCTCATAATACTGGAGTGATTCTACCGAACAATCAGCCAAATGCTGCATACATTTCACATACATAGGTCACAATTCAACAGAACACATAGGAATAACTGTAATTTTTAGGACAGCCCAATGCCCATAGTGAGTTTCAGCTTTATTCTCAGACCTTTAGTGTCGCACTAATGAATGGATGTTGAAAGAGATGGCAATCTTACATGACATCCAACTGCCAGATAATCAATGTCAACCTCCCTTCTGTGTTTGCATTTTCTTCCTGGATCCATTTTTTTAGAGGAGCTGTATATAGAAACATAGAAAAATAGAATGTGACTGCAGATAACCATTCGGCCTCTCTAGTCTGCCCAATTTTCTAAATACTTTCATTAGTCCCTTATCTTAAATCTAGATAGGTATGCCTATCCCACACATGCTTAAACCCCTTCACTGTGTTAACCTCTACCACTTCAGCTGGAAGGCTATTCCATGCATCCACTACCCTCTCAGTAAAGTAATTCTTCCTAATATTATTTTTAAAACTTTGCCCCTCTAATTTAAGACTAATTTAAGACTATATGCCCTCTTGATGTGGTAGTTTTTCTTCTTTTAAATATAGTCTCCTCCTTTACTGTGTTGATTCCCTTTATGTATTTAAATGTTTCGCTCATATCCCCTGTCTCGTCTTTCTTCCAAGCTATAGCTGTTAAGATCCTTTAACCCTTCCTGGTAAGTTTTATCCTGCAATCCATGAACCAGTTTAGTAGCCCCTCTCTGAACTCTCTCTAAAGTATAAATATCCTTCTGGAGATACTGTCTCCAGTACTGCGTACAATACTCCAAATGAGGTCTCACCAGTGTTCTGTACGATGGCATGAACACTTACCTCTTTAGAAACATAGAATGTTATGGCAGATAAGAACCATTCAGCCCATCTAGTCTGCCCAATATATCGAAATACTTTTAATTAGTCCCTGGCCTTATCTTAAGTCTAGGATAGCCTTATGCCTATTCCACATATGCTTATTCCACATGCTTATTCCACATGCCTATTCCACATTGTGTTAACCTCTACCACTTTAGCTGAAAGGCTATTCCATGCATCCACTACCCTCTCAGTAAAGTAATACTTCCTGATATTATTTTTAAACCTTTGCCGTTCCAATTTAAGACTATGCCCTCTTGTTATGGTAGTTTTTCTTCTTTTAAATATAGTCTCCTCCTTTAGTGTGTTGATTCCCTTTATGTAGCTGAATGTTTCTATCATATCCTCCCTGTCTCATCTTTCTACCAAGCTATACATGTTAAGATCCTTTAACCTTTCCTGGTAAGTTTTATCCTGCAATCCATGAGCCCTTCTCTGAACATCTTCTAGAGTATCAATATCCTTCTGAAGATACGTTCTCCAGTACTGTGTACAATACTCCAAGTGAGGTCTCACCAGTGTTCTGTACAATGGCATGAGCACTTCTCTCTTTCTACTGCTAATACCTCTCCCTATACAACCAAGCATTATGTAAGCATTTCCAGCTGCTCTATTACATTGTCTTTCTACCTTTAAGTCATCTGAACTCATTACTCCTAAATCCCTTTCCTCAGATGTTGAGGTTAGTTGGGTATCAAATATCCTATTCTCTGTCCTTGGGATTTTACGTCCAAGGTGCATTATTTTGCACTTATCCACATTAAATGTCAGTTGCCACAGCTCTGACAATTTTTCCAATTTATCTAAATCATTTGCCATTGGGCTTAACCCTCCTGGAACATCAACCCTGTTGCAAATTTTAGTATCATCAGCAAAAAGAAATACCTTACCATCAAGACCTTCTGCAATAAAAATATTAAAGAGAATGTGTCCAAGTACAGATCCCTGAGGTACCCCAGTGGTAACTAGACCTTGCTTCGAACATACTCCATTGACAACAACCCTGTTGCCTGTCATTTAGCCACTACCTAACCCATTCAACTATATTGGAATCGAAACTTAAAGATTGTAGTTTATTGATGAGCCTTCTATGTGGAACAGTTTCAAAAGCTTTACTGAAATCTAGGTAAGCAATGTCTACTGCACCACCCTGATCTATTATTTTAGTTACCCAATCAAAAAAAAATCAATAAGATTAGTTTGGCATGATGTCCTTGAAGTAAACCCATGTTGTCTCTGATCTTGAAATCCATATGATTTTAGATGTTCAACAATCCTATCCTTTAACATGGCTTCCATCACTTTCCCCACTACTGAAGTAAGGCCTACTGGCCTATAGATGCCTGACTCCTCCCTACTACCTCTCTTTTTCTAATTTCCAATCTTCTTGGACTAATCCTGTTAACAATGATTGGTTAAGTAAATCCGTTAATGGTTTTGCTAGCACACCACTAAGTTCTTTTAATAAATTTGGGTGTATCGCATCAGGCCCCATCGACTTTCTACTGCTAATACCTCTTACTATACAGCCAAGCATTCTGCTAGCATTTCCTGCTGCTCTTTTACATTGTCTGCCTACTTTTAAGTCATCTGTCTGCCTACCTTTAATAATAAATCACTTTCCTCAGATGCTGAGATTAGGACTCTATCAAATATTCTGTACTCTGTCCCTGGGTTTTTACGTCCAAGATGCATTATCTTGAACTTATCCACATTAAATGTCCGATGCCACAACTCTGACCAGTTTTCTAGATTACCCAAATCATTTGCCACTTGGCTTATCCATTTGCCATTTGGCTTGGGCACAAATCCTACGTGGTCCGAATAAAAAAAAAACAGGGAGCACTCTGCTCACCATAATTGCTACTACTTTGGTGAATAGTTTTAGATCATAATTAAGAAGGGAGATTGGTCTATAGCTTGCACAGCATGTTGGATCTTTACCAATCTTTGGGAATACAGTGATAGTTGCCAATAGCAAGTCACAAGGACATAAGCCATCGTCAAGAAGCGAGTTCAATCCATTGAATAATTTTGGTAGGAGGAGGTCTCTAAGCATTTTAAAATATCTAAGAACAAGGCCATCTGAACCCAAGGCTTTATATGTTTTTTTTTAAGCTTTATAAGACGATTGCAATTCCTCAATTGAGATACGTGTTTCCAGTTCCTCTGGTGCTTCTGGAGCGAGATTTCTGGCCACGTGGCACGTCGGGTAGTTTGTAATCACATGATTGTGTCGCTGTGCTTCCTCCCTCGGGATGCGCTCTAACCTGAGATTATAAAGCTGCAAGTAGTATTCATAAAATTCATGATGATTGCTCCAATCTTTAAAAAGTCTCTACTGAGTTTCAAAGAACATCCACATGATTTAAAAAGAATAAAGGAATAAGAAAGTAAAAACGGAAAAAGGGAAAAGAAACTAAAAGATAAGAAACGAATAAAGGACAGTTTTTTTTGTTTTTTATGGGTTTTTTTTAATTGATTTTTGTGTGGTTATCTCTACTCCATCTATTTCTTCCCAATAAATATTTACCCATTCATAAAAATGATGTCAGAGAGTAATGAATCTAAGCATACTACTAAAAAGGATAAAAATACAGATGCAAATGAAGAAAAACAATTATCAGCCTTTTTTTCACCACAGGCAGATAAGAGACAAACCATATAAAAATCAAGAAAAACAGATAAATAAACATGGTGAAGAAATCCAAGATTATAGACATCATTGAATCTCAAACTACAAATAATTACCCCTGAGTACTTAAAGTCCTGTTTGGATAATCAATATAAAGAAATTACAATCTGGAAACAATATCGGAGGGTGTAAAAAGTTATATAGGGAAATTGACAAACATTTTGGAGAAAACTGATGAAAAGCTTGAAGCACTATCTTATCAAAATCAACAAATGGAAGATCGGATGAAACTATTGGAGGAAAAGACAGAGAAATTAAAATTGAAACTAACAGAGAATGAAGATAGTGTGAGGAGGATAAACCTCAGAATAGGAGGTGTGCCAGAGAATGTATCAATACATGAATTGGGAAAATATCTTGAAGGGTTTTTTATATTTTTATAGGCCTTAATCCAGATCAAAGTCAAAATTTTATTGAAAGAGTACATAGGCTAAATAAGCCAGAAAATATAGCAGCTTCTCTCCCAAGAGATATAATAGCATGCTTTCATTCACACAGATTTATAGAACATGTTATAAAAGCTTATAGGGAGAAAGAGTAAAAAGGCACTGACTATGAGAATATTCGGTTATTTCCAGACTTGTCGATCAATACGAGATTACAAAGGAGACAATATGATTCCCTTATAACAACACTAAGATCTAAAGACATTAGATATATGTGGACCTTCCCTACAGGAATAGCAGTAACACATGAAGGTCACAGGAAAACATTTATAAGAAGTGAAATTACTTTCTTAAAGAAAAGCAAGGAAAAGTAAAATAAAAAAATAAAAAATGTTATTTGGTTTCCCCCCTTTTTTTTTTTCTCTTCCCCTTCCTTCTTGGGATGACAAATAGGTTATAAATAGCAATGATATGAGATTATAATTTATAGGAAATTAATAAGCAACACTAAGAAGTAAGAAATTAAATATTGTATATATAGAATGGAAAAGGTAAAGAGGGGTAAACAGTTAAGATTATTAAGCTTATAATTAGTGATGTCTTGAACGGTTCGCCGGCGAACATAGCGTGTTCGCGTTCGCCACAGATGGCGAACATATGCGACGTTCGGTCGGCCCCCTATTAATTTACTAATACTAAGTAAAAATTACTTAGTATTAGTAAATTGTGCCCCTACTCGCAATACCGCGAGTAGGGGCATGTCTATTAGAAAGTGAGTGGCCTGTGGCTGCTCACTGTTTAAAAAAAAAAGGTGTCCCCCCCCCGGTGGGGGCCCTAAATACTAATGGGGGGGGACCTATTGTCCTCCCCCCGGCCCCCACCCCTGAGCAGTGGGTGGGGGCCCTAAAAATACCAATAAGGGGGGGACCTATTGTTCCCCCCCGGCCCCCACCCCTGAGCGGTGGGTGGGGGCCCTAAAATGAAAAATAAGGGGGGACCTCTTGTCCCCCCCACCCCCACCCCTGCGCGGCGGGTGGGGGCCATATTGATAATGAGGGGGGGACCTACTGCCCCCCCCGGCCCCCACCCCTGCGCGGCGGGTGGGGGCCAAATTGATAATGAGGGGGGACCTACTGCCCCCCCGGCCCCCACCCCTGGGTGGCGGGTGGGGGCCATAAAGATAATGAGGGGGGGACCTACTGTCCTCCCCCCCGGCCCCCACCCCTGGGTGGCGGCAACAAAGATAATGAGGGGGACCTACTGTCCTCCCCCCCCGGCCCCCACCCCTGGGCGGTGGGTGGGGGCCACAAAGATAATGAGGGGGGACCTACTGTCCTCCCCCCCCGGCCCCCACCCCTGGGCGGCGGGTGGGGGCCACAAAGATAATGGGGGGACCTACTGTCCTCCCCCCCCGGCCCCCACCCCTGGGCGGCGGGTGGGGGCCACAAAGATAATGGGGGGACCTACTGTCCTCCCCCCCCGGCCCCCACCCCTGGGCTGCGGGTGGGGGCCCTAAGCAAATCCCCCCCCAAGGTGACTAGGGGTCCCCAAGCCCCTAGTCACCACCCCCCCCCAAATAAAAAGTCCCTTTGGAATTTTCCCACGCTGTGTAAAATGACAGAGCACTCTGATTGGCTTAAACCCACCAATCAGAATGTTCTTAGCCTAATTGCAGGGCGTGGCAAGGCTTTATAAGCCTTCCCCCGCCCTGCAGAGCTCAGTCTGCGCGGAGCCCTCCATGGGTGAAGATGGATTATTTTTTTGCGTTCTGGTTTTTTCTTTTTCGTCTGGTTTTTTTGGGGGCGCTCTGGATTTTTATTTTATTTTCAATTCGACGGTTATGATGGTTTTTTTATTTGGCCTTTTTTGGGGCTGAAAAAAGATTTGAGAAAAAAGAAGACGTCGAATGGTAAGTTTACTTTTATTTTACAGGTTAGTTATTTTATTCCCCCCTCACTATTTTTTAGGGTGAGCGGGGTAGGTAGGGACTTTTTATTTGGGGGGGGGTAGGTTCCCCCCCCATTATCTTTGTGGCCCCCACCCGCCGCCCAGGGGTGGGGGCCGGGGGGGAGGACAGTAGGTCCCCCCCTGATTATCTTTGTGGCCCCGACCCGCCGCCCAGGGGTGGGGGCCGGGGGGGAGGACAGTAGGTTCCCCCCCCTCATTAGTCTTTATGGCCCCCACCCGCCGCCCAGGGGTGGGGGCCGGAGGGGGGGTGGACAGTAGGTCCCCCCCACTATCAATATGGCCCCCACCCGCCACGCAGGTGTGGGGGCCGGGGGGGGCAGTAGGTCCCCCCCATTATCAATATGGCCCCCACCCGCCGTGCAGGGGTGGGGGCGGGGGCGAGGGGGGCAGTAGGTCCCCCCCCCTCATTATCAATATGGCCCCCACCCGCCGCGCAGGGGTGAGGGCCGGGGGGCAGTAGGTCCCCCCCCTCATTATCAATATGGCCCCCACCCGCCGCGCAGGGGTGGGGCGGGGGGGACAATAGGTCCCCCCTTATTGTTATTAGGGCCCCACCCACCGCTCAGGGGTGGGGGCCGGGGGGGGACAGTAGGTCCCCCCCTCATTATCTTTATGGCCCCCACCCGCCGCCCAGGGGTGGGGGCCGGGGGGGGAGGAGAGTAGGTCTCCCCCCCCCCTTCAACCAATAAGAGTCCCTGTGGCTTTTAAAATTCGCCTGCCCATTGAAGCCTATGGCGGTTCGCCCGGTTCGTGGGTTCGCGAACATTTGCCGAAGTTCGCATTCGCCGTTTGCGAACCGAAAAATTCACGTTCGCGACATCACTACTTATAATGAAATAGTAATCACTTACTAAAAAAAAGCACAAGGAGAAGAAAGTTAAACAGTAAGGGAATTAAAGTGTGATCGGTGCAGTCACACTATCACAGTGCCTGATTGGCACCACAATGTGACCATATCTGATCAGTGCGGTCACACTAAATGAGGGAGAGGTTACTCACTTTACCTCCAGTGCCTCTCCCTCCATGCAGCTCCTAATACAGTGGCCAGGTCCAGCTTTAGGAAGTACGCCGGCCGCTGCAGTTTTTCAGTGCCCTTTCGTTGTTTCCATCCTGTTGGTTATCCGAGAGTGTGCATTCCTGATTCTGTTTATTGATCTTGGCTTGGCTTGACTTCCTGAATTTCTGGTATCCCTGACTCTCTGTTTCTTTCTCGTTTCAATTATATCATAACTTATAGGCCTAGTACTAGGAACATGATGCATTATCTAGACAGTTTGAGACGGAGGAAGAACCGGAGCAAGAGAACACTCCTATTATTCCTCATGAATGTATTTTGGCTTCCACTGTCCTTTCTTTGTCCCTTGCCTCTTCTTGGTGTGATAATCGTCGCTCAACCTCAGGCACTTAGTAATAAACCTTCAGATCTCCTGTTCCTGAGACTGAATGAAGGGCAATTCTTGCCATGTTTCATAACAACGTTACGGCTGGGCATCCAGGTATACGCAAAACCATTTCAGCGGTAACCAGAAAGTTCTGGTGGCCCTCTCTTAAGGTTGATGTTATCAATTATGTCAATACTTGCCAGAAGTTCCACACAAATTGAAGTGTGGCTTGTTACAACCACTGCCAGTGCCTCTTATTCCGTGGTCTCATATAGCCATTGACTTCATTGTGGAGTTGCCTGTCTCCAAGGGATATAACACTATACTCATAGATCGATCCTCTAAAATGGCCCATTTTGTCCCGCTTAAAAAAATTACCTTCCTCAAAAGACCTTGCTCAGTTATTCAGTAAGGAAATAGTGAGGTTACATGGGATTCCTCAAAACATTGTTTCTGACAGATGTTCTCAGTTCATTTCTCGATTCTGGAAATCTTTTTGTAAAGAATTAGGTATCGACCTGTCTTTTTCTTCATCTTATCATCCCTAAACTAATGTGGGCGCTGAAAAGGCAAATCAGTCTCTGGAAGTATTTCTACGTTGTTTTGTTAACGCTTCCCAGGATAATTGGGTTGACCTCTTGCCTTGGGCAGAATTTGTCTGGGAACAACGCTACGCATGACTGTTCCAAACTTAGTCCTTTTTATGTTGTCTATGGTCTCCACCATAGACAACATTACCTACTATGTTCTCTGATACAGATGTCCCCACTCTGGATGAGAATCTGATTTCTATGAGGAAAACATGTGATCTGGTTCATTCTGCCTGTTCTATACATGTGTGCCTTCAAGAGCACCCCTTAAATCAAAGCCTGTATTCACCCACTCAGTCTAAAGAATGTACCTCCCGCCAAGACACGCCACCAAAAGCTATTTTGGAGGAACAGCCACTGCCTGTCAGAGTACACTCAGGGAGTTTCCTGCATAAGAAAGGTATTGGAGGTTTCAAACTGCTCTGAGCAGGCTGAGCCTCATTGGATAGTGCGGTGGCTAGTTGCTAAGCCTAGAGCAGGTCGTAGAAGATCACTATAAATATGAAAAATTAGTAAAAGTCACTGTTGGTGCAGTGACGTGTATAGTGCCGGTGTGTTCCCCTGACACGCGTTTCATCACTCTGGCTCATCAAAGCAGATACCTAATAAATATCTGTGAGAATAATAATAAAATATTTATTCTCACAAATCTATATGCACCTAATCATATGCCAATCAAATTCTTTAAAACGGTGCTAAGTAAAGTAGAGATTATTAAACAGGGAGATATTATATCAATGGGAGACTTGAATTGTTTATTGGATACAGGTATAGATATAAATTCTATAGAATATAGAAAAATAGAAATCTAGAAAAAAATGAAAGAAATAAACCATTGAGTCTACCTGAGTTATATGTGTAATTGGACTCTTTCAGTTTTCAAAATAAAGAGGCCCCTACCAGAGAAATCAAACGAAGAATTATTGAAATTTAAAAATTAATAAATGAGGCATTAATATTAAATGCAAATCAAATGCTTAACAAAAAAGACTATGGTATTATAAGGGTAAAGTATAAATTATCTAATCAAATTAAAAAAGAAAAATCAAATACATTTATATCTAGAATATAACAAGAGGATCAAATTCTTGTGATA